ATTACCGTATTATTATTCACAATATATATATATATCTACATATATGGTAACCGCGTGATCTTAACAAGTTAACGGTACCCGGTTCATGCGCATAGTTACTTATACACACACTCGCAATGCATCGTAAGAAGCCGTGGAACGCCCCGAGCGAGCAACGCGTTCAAAAGGACATTCCTCCTCCTCTTTACAATATGCCTAATATGTATGGTTGTTTTTTTTTTTTTGCCATTACGCGCTTGTGTCAATCGATTTACGTAAGCTTGGTATTTTTATGTAATAATGACTTCGTTTCTATAACGTACAGTATAAGAATTAGCTGTAACTTTTGAGGCTTGATTGTGACAGAAAAAATGCCCCGCGTTTCCGGATGCTTCGTGTATCGAGGAGAGGAGGAGGAATCATATAATTATTGGTACACAACGCGACGACTATGATTTTTTGATCTAGGTTACCGAACCACCGCGGCGACTTTCTCTGATTTCCGTAACGATTTACATAATAATCCCGATTGTGGCAATCAACGGCTTCTCGCGCCTAAACCGTCACTGTAAACGTCAAACGTATATATTGTGATCAAACGACTTTTTAAAACAATCCAACATACGCGCAACCAAAATAAAAAAAACAAAAAAAGTATTGTCAATTATTAGGTACACGCGTTTCAGCACAATCATATATTGGGCAATGACCCCAAAATAGCTAATTAGATATATATATATATCGGTTTTACGCAATGTGTTAACAGTTGATAATTCACGTTATTAGGTACATATACGTAGGTATACTTAATATATATGTATTACCGATAATGGGAAAATTGCACACATTTTACTTTGCCACACTTGCCACTTTACTTTGTACGTAATGTATGTGTTAGTTTCTCTCCCGTAATCGTGAAAAAACAAGCAACCCATTTCCCCGTATGTATACTGGACACGCATCCATCAATTTTATTAATACCTTCGTGGATTGTAAATTAACATTGTGGATCTTCCTGGAAACGTGTATGTATATACCTAATGTACATGTATTACACAGTCCCATTTCTGTCTTTGCGCATATCCATACCAATATATATATATATATATATATATATATATATATATATTACCAAACCAGCTTGGCATGCGCACGTGAGAACCCTGAGTACAACACTACGGACACANAGCTCCATAAGTTAATGATATATATGGACGATGCACGGGAAATGTGTGCCACCGTGTTCTTTCCTCGTTTGTGTACCGATTTTATGGTTTTTTCGCTCCACTTTGGACAGCCAAATGCATCTCTCTCGAGCGCGTCTAAACAATCAAGCAATCGTTCACCCCACAGCGCCTACATAATTATACACATGCACAGGTACATTATATATATATCCTTTGAATCGCGAAAAACCGCGGGGCAGGATATATATATATTTACGTGGCATTGCGCTTTTAACCTACTTGCCCGAAGAGCACGGAGCCTGCATGTACAATACATATATAATATATCCTCTACAATCATGTATAGACGCAACCACGCAGACTCCTTGGCGTTAGATGAGCCGGTAAAATATCGTCTCCGGGACGTTAACGCGGCGCCAACGTTACAGTTACGGCCCGCGGAGCGCGAGTGTGTGCCGATGATCCGTGAAAAACCGGTTTTTCACGAACGCAATAAAAAAGCATAATATACAGACGCTCTTTGGCATATTATGTTATATTGTACAATGTAACGCAGAGGGGCTTGGTTGTTTGAAGCTCCTCATTTTTATTTTTTCAACTCGCGTACCCTATACACGCGTTGTTGTGTTTTTCATGGTGCTTTCGGATACACATTATACCGAGCTTATTTCTGTATAATCTACATTAAGTACACACTGCACGGCTCGGAAGGAGGAAGCGGAAGTCGCTCGTGGGCGTAATTTTATACCAGAGTTGTTGAGTTATTGTTGCGGAAACGTATAAGTTGTATACTTTGCGAAAGTATTGTTGATCCTTTGATTCGCGGCGAGCGAAAGTCATACATTTTGTATACAATATAATATATATGGACTTGCTTTCGAGGCAATTAAACATCGTGATTGAAGACGCCGCGCTGTCCGGGGATGATGCCGATTTTCCCGTGCTCGCACCATAAAATTAGAGACAACAACGCGCTCTCTCGCCTTTCTATTGTAATACCCACCTGTTGTCTTTCGCGTGTACGATTCTTTTTTTTCTCGTTCAGAGTGTCAAAGGATGCGGGAAAAAAAAAGAGAAAAAAAAAAAAGAAAAAATCGGCGTCCCCGAAAGAAAATCGCACCGTATACTCACAACAAAGGTGCGGAACTCCATGGCGAGGACTCGCCGCAGCAGGTACTCGGTGGCCAGAAAAAAAAAAAATCCTCCACCTTGGGACTTCCTTGCGGGGTCTCGGTACGTTGTTAACCGGCGCGAGCTCGAACGAAAACTAAGGCGCCGCTCGGCTCCCAGGTGTGCACACTCGCTCCGGCTAACGGCCCACATTCTTGCCCCCGAGACTTCCTTCCCCCCTCTGGCCCCATAATATTATATACATGCACAAGTGCGTATATTTACGTGTGTGCTACCGAACCATACTTATACATGGGTACAGGGTGACGTCGATCGTCTGTGACCTTGACCAAAATAAGTCGAGAGGCCTACTCCTGCCAGAATTTGCGGGTATCGGTACACAATAGGTATTTATACGCCCAAGGGTCGGTGGACGGTGTCATTGACGCTTCGGCTCTACCCTTTTGTGTGTATGTATATTACACGCTGCGAGTGGCATAGTGGTGACTGTTTTTTTTTTTTTTCTTTTTTTTTTGTATATATACACTACGTTCTCGTTCGAGCGAGTTCAAGTTCGTTGACTTGGACGAGCGACGAGAGGGAGGGGCAGTTGAAAACTTTTTTCTCTGTACAAAGCTTTTTGTGGGACTCGATGGACCTGCAGGTGTTTTGTAAGAGATCGTGTAACAGTTCAGTCATAGGGAAACTTCCGTTGTTTTTTTTTTTTTTTTTTTTTTTTGTATAATTTTAAAATAGCGAGACGATTCGCTTACCCAAGTTTTGATGACTAAGTACCTAGTACCTAGTGTAATTAAATTTCTTTTTTTTTTTTTTTTTTCAACGTTGACATTCGCAAGAGTACTCGTTTACAGCTATAATTAGTCTTCTGTCGTGAATATTTTTGGCGCAATCGTGTGTTATTGCAATAAAAACACACGCACGTGCCATTACGACAAATTGATAGTTGCAGAGTAGGCAGATTTCACAAATTCTCGGTTGAAAGTACTTATACTAGCATTTTTCAACAAAGCCTATATATACAGTTTAAAAAAAAACATCAAAGGCTTAAACAAATATATGTATATTGTATTTTTAGACTCAATATGGCTATTATCGAACTAAATCAATGATGCATATTATGTAAAACGATACGTCATTAATTTTAAGTTGATTGTTAACAATTATACGGGCGATCATCCAATGGAAATTTAAATTATAAAGCATATGAGGCCTCGGAGGCGTTCATTACCGTATTATTATTCACATACACGCGTGGGTCTCTCAGTTTCAAGTCTTTGCTCATCAGAGTCGTTGCTGCTTGTTTTCCTGCTACGTCTAACTGTACAGTTTTAGCTCATAACAGTACATATCTCGATGTACAATGCCGAATACATTATACACACCGCATGCATAATGCCTAGGTATTTACCGACTCGTTGCGTCATGCCTTCGGAACGATTTTTCATTTTTAACAATTTTTTTTGTTTCCTCCTCAAAATCGATGCTTTTCTTAACGTTATTTTCTAAAATTGTCCCACGATCCACAAGCATTTTCATAAAAAACAAAAGTTCTTATATAGGATCTTCTTATCGCGTAAAATGTCAACGCATAATTCATTTTGAAACAAATGTTACGTATAATCGGTATTCATTTTAACATGAGACTTTTTTTTATTTGCAGCGTCATTTAGGGACAAAGAGGCTCATCCCCGACGAACGGTATACCACAATCCTCTAGATTGGCTTTTGTTGTTTGTCCCTGTACTTATACATATTGTATGTATTGTTAACTGAGCCCTTTCTCAGAAGGCGAACGTGCTCAAACATTATTCAACAAAGTTGTTTCAAGCTGTGTATACTCGGTGTTGGTGCAGAGAGTGCTGATTTGCAAAACGCGTCCAAGAGTCACACTACACAAGTCACGATGTGGGTCACGACTAAAACGATGACGTATATTTTTAGTGTTCCAGCCTACACTGTTTATTCCCAATCCATGTCGGTCTCGCATTGTACCCGTGGCTTGTCCGCGTTAAACGCGAGCAAGGCATTTTTCTTGTTAATATGTGGAAGAAAGTGGTGCCCCTGTCCTCGTCCTTTGGGGGGCCCCAAGTCGTTCAAACGCCAATGAAAATGATTAAAAAAAGAAGGTATACTCGTTTGCACAGTTTAATCATATTAATACGTACAATAATCATCGTTTAATTTCATGAAATGTTGAACGTTATAAACAAACGTATGGTAAACCGATGACAGCAATCCAAGCAACATAGTATAACTCCTCGAGAGGAACTAACGTAACGAAAACAAAAAACTTGTACGACTTGTAAAAAAAAAAAAAAAAAAAAAATAATCACCAGCATCGGCTTGCATTCCTTCTCGCAAAGTAGTATCTCTGCGTGTATATATAGTTATGCGGAAGTAAAAAAAAAAAAAAAAAAAAAAAAAACCAAAAGAAATCAGCTTTGTCTTATTTTTTGTGTTAACGAAGAGACAAAGAAGACGAAAAAGAAATAATTTGCCGTTCCTGAGATAAACAATGCGCGAATCAATAGCCCACGTCGTTCTCCATCGAGTGGTAAATGAGCACGTCCTTGGCGTAGAAATTCGGTCCGTGGAATTCGTGCTCGTGGAAGGGCCTGTCCAGGGGAAAGCCGAAATGCCGTGAGTCCAGCAGCGACTCGCCAATTGTGGGCGACCAGTAGTACAACGGGTCGCTCTCCAACGGCGACACGTGCACGTATAACTGATACGGCATACCCTCCGGTCTGCCCCTCGGCAAAATCAGCCGCTGCGGAAAACCGTACACGACCTGCTGGTACTTGAGCTCGCCGCTTCCCGCTATCGCGTCGAGGACCTTCTTGTAGTACACCTCGCTCGGATCGCTGTCTTCCACCGTGAAGAAAAGATCGTTGCAGTCGCGCTCGATCTTGTTCATCCCGGGGCTCACTGCAACCGTGTACAACGTGTGTGCACATCATACAAGTGCTCTTTGTGCCTCATGCATATATATATATATATATATATGGACGATGCACGGGAAATGTGTGCCACCGTGTTCTTTCCTCGTTTGTGTACCGATTTTATGGTTTTTTCGCTCCACTTTGGACAGCCAAATGCATCTCTCTCGAGCGCGTCTAAACAATCAAGCAATCGTTCACCCCACAGCGCCTACATAATTATACACATGCACAGGTACATTATATATATATCCTTTGAATCGCGAAAAACCGCGGGGCAGGATATATATATATTTACGTGGCATTGCGCTTTTAACCTACTTGCCCGAAGAGCACGGAGCCTGCATGTACAATACATATATAATATATCCTCTACAATCATGTATAGACGCAACCACGCAGACTCCTTGGCGTTAGATGAGCCGGTAAAATATCGTCTCCGGGACGTTAACGCGGCGCCAACGTTACAGTTACGGCCCGCGGAGCGCGAGTGTGTGCCGATGATCCGTGAAAAACCGGTTTTTCACGAACGCAATAAAAAAGCATAATATACAGACGCTCTTTGGCATATTATGTTATATTGTACAATGTAACGCAGAGGGGCTTGGTTGTTTGAAGCTCCTCATTTTTATTTTTTCAACTCGCGTACCCTATACACGCGTTGTTGTGTTTTTCATGGTGCTTTCGGATACACATTATACCGAGCTTATTTCTGTATAATCTACATTAAGTACACACTGCACGGCTCGGAAGGAGGAAGCGGAAGTCGCTCGTGGGCGTAATTTTATACCAGAGTTGTTGAGTTATTGTTGCGGAAACGTATAAGTTGTATACTTTGCGAAAGTATTGTTGATCCTTTGATTCGCGGCGAGCGAAAGTCATACATTTTGTATACAATATAATATATATGGACTTGCTTTCGAGGCAATTAAACATCGTGATTGAAGACGCCGCGCTGTCCGGGGATGATGCCGATTTTCCCGTGCTCGCACCATAAAATTAGAGACAACAACGCGCTCTCTCGCCTTTCTATTGTAATACCCACCTGTTGTCTTTCGCGTGTACGATTCTTTTTTTTCTCGTTCAGAGTGTCAAAGGATGCGGGAAAAAAAAAGAGAAAAAAAAAAAAGAAAAAATCGGCGTCCCCGAAAGAAAATCGCACCGTATACTCACAACAAAGGTGCGGAACTCCATGGCGAGGACTCGCCGCAGCAGGTACTCGGTGGCCAGAAAAAAAAAAAATCCTCCACCTTGGGACTTCCTTGCGGGGTCTCGGTACGTTGTTAACCGGCGCGAGCTCGAACGAAAACTAAGGCGCCGCTCGGCTCCCAGGTGTGCACACTCGCTCCGGCTAACGGCCCACATTCTTGCCCCCGAGACTTCCTTCCCCCCTCTGGCCCCATAATATTATATACATGCACAAGTGCGTATATTTACGTGTGTGCTACCGAACCATACTTATACATGGGTACAGGGTGACGTCGATCGTCTGTGACCTTGACCAAAATAAGTCGAGAGGCCTACTCCTGCCAGAATTTGCGGGTATCGGTACACAATAGGTATTTATACGCCCAAGGGTCGGTGGACGGTGTCATTGACGCTTCGGCTCTACCCTTTTGTGTGTATGTATATTACACGCTGCGAGTGGCATAGTGGTGACTGTTTTTTTTTTTTTTCTTTTTTTTTTGTATATATACACTACGTTCTCGTTCGAGCGAGTTCAAGTTCGTTGACTTGGACGAGCGACGAGAGGGAGGGGCAGTTGAAAACTTTTTTCTCTGTACAAAGCTTTTTGTGGGACTCGATGGACCTGCAGGTGTTTTGTAAGAGATCGTGTAACAGTTCAGTCATAGGGAAACTTCCGTTGTTTTTTTTTTTTTTTTTTTTTTGTATAATTTTAAAATAGCGAGACGATTCGCTTACCCAAGTTTTGATGACTAAGTACCTAGTACCTAGTGTAATTAAATTTCTTTTTTTTTTTTTTTTTTAATTATCCT